TGCTGCGAGGAGGAGGAGGAGGAGGAGGAGGAGGAGCGAAGAGGAGGAGGGAGGAGGAGGAGGAGGAGGAGGAGGGGGAGGAGGAGGAGGAGGAGGAGGGAGGAGGGAGGAGGAGGGGAGGAGGGAGGAGGAGGGGGAGGAGGGAGGAGGGAGGAGGGAGGAGGAGGAGGAGGAGGAGGAGGAGGAGGAGGAGGAGGAGGAGGAGGAGGAGGAGTTGGCCTCGCGGCGCCAGCGGGGCGTAGGCGGGGAGCGGTGCTCTCGGGCCGTCTCCGGGTGCTGCGCAGAGAGAGGCGACGGTACGCTGCCACTGGAGCTCTCGCTCATCCGCCCCGTCCGCTCCCCCCCCTCTCCATGCCTCTTCTAGCCCCCCCCCCTCCCCCCTCCTGCTCCTGCCTCGGCTTCTGCGTCACCCCCCCAAGTTCGTCTCCTCCATCAGGAATGTGGTGCAGTCCATGGTGACACCAGAGCGGGGCGCTCGCAACTCGCCACGCCTCCAACTCGCGACGCGACGGCATCCTCCCACCATCACCTACGTTAGCTGTTTTTCGAACTTCCACGATCGCTGGGGGATCTACATGGGCGGACGGGAAAGGCGCAGCTGAACCGCGGAAAAAGAACCGCTCGCGGACGTGCCCGCGGTGCCTCCTGCCCCTCAAAGTTGATATGACTCAAGAGGATAGATGTAAAGTTTGGCAGGCCCTGACGCAGGGCAGTGGCTCCCTTCCAGCGGCCCTTCGCACCCACCGCCGAACAAGCTGGCCTCGGGAGGGGCTGAGCCTCTCGGCAGCAGTTTGTCTGCCTAGCGGCGTGCATCGCGTCGAAACCAAGCAGCTAAGGCTTCCGCGCTCCCACCACTCCCGGACCCCCTCCCTCGCTTCGGCCCGAGGTGCGGGTGCGCGGAAGCGGCCCCCGTGGGTCGCAGGGCGAGGCGGGGTCGCCCAAGTGATGAAGATGATGTGGGCCCATCTGTCCTGTGCTCGCCGTTGACGTGGGCCTCGATACCCCTCGCAATCGCGATGCCGAAGATCGCGTCAGTCTCGACGTCGGGGTCCACGGCTGTCTCGGCGTCGCTGCGCTGCCGCACTTTGTTGACGGGCTCGAGGCAGTCGCCGCTGTGCCCGACGAATTGCTCACATGCAGTGTTGGCCACGCCCACTCTCCGAGCGTCGAGCATCCCACATTCTCGACCTGGCAGCATGCACTGACCAATTACCATAAGCATTGCGCCCATCGACAGCGCTCGGATATGCCGTAGCACGAACTCTGGTGAGCTCGGGTTGAAGTAATGATGCGCCTATTACATCATTCCTGTGCGATTGTGAGACAAGTGGTCCTCGCCGAACACATAGCCTGGCGTGAGGCGTCGTCGGCGCGGCATCTGTGCCGCTGCTTCACCGACCTATCAATATATATATATATATATATATATATATATATATATATTATTTGGGGTGACACCCGTTCTGCTGGTGTTCAGAAGGAACTTGCCGAAGGGTGGTTCGGCACCGAAACATCCAACACAATGATCACGTGGATATCCTCCGCCAGACTGCTGGGCTGCACCGCGTTGACCAGCAGCGCTACGCAGTGTCTCCCGCCTTCCTCACACCGCACCATGCAAAAGGCACAGCAGTGGCCATGTCCGCAAAGTGCGTTGGGCAGCGTATCCTGGCCGCGTAGCCCGACAGCGATCAACGATGCCTTAGCCTACACCTACTTCAACCCAAACACCGCAGGTGCAACAGCTCCCTACCACCCAGCAATGACCAAGAGACGGGCCTTCCGCCTGCCGAACCTGATTTCACGACGTCGGCATTGTCATGCGCGTGGCAAGACAAGGGTGCGCGGCACTCAGTGCGCGTGAGAACGCAGCATGCACTTGTGCCGCTGGCCCTCCTCGGGGATCTACTGACCCGGGTCAGTCCAGACCCGGGTCAGTCAGGCTCTGCAGGAACCTGCAGGATCCTGCAGGATCCTGCAAGATCCTACGCCCAAGCCCGGATCGATGCGACCCTGGCCCTGCAGGATCCTGCAAGATCTGGCGCTATGGCTGACCCCCGTTTGCATTGACCCCCGTCTCTTGAGCCCCCATCTCCTGTAGCAGCAGCGAGTCCAACACAGGCACAATGCCAATGCCGAAGATGCTGCCTGGGACACATCGATGCGTGGGGGCGCGCGCGGCCAGTGCGAAGAGCCTCTTGGGCGGCACGCGCGCCGATCACTCAGTGGACTCGCCATCGCTCGGACGTTCTCTCCCCGTGCATGTTCGGTTTCGTGCGCGCGGTTGTGCGCAGGGTGGCCCGAAATGCTCCTCGATGGCCCTTGCCGAGAAAAAGGGCGCACACGTCTGGAGGATGCCATGTGGAGTGGCGTCAGAGAGCAGGGACGCCCATGCCTCGCGCAACAAGGCGGCGGCGGGTCAGGCGGCAGCAGGGGCCGCGGGGGACCCCCCGGTGCGGCCACGGGCGCCTGAGCCCCATCGCGCCCGTGCCGGGAGCGCGTGCAGGTCAGGCGCGCGAGCGGAGGTTGCGAACGGAAGGGTCGAACCAACCGTCGAATCCGTCGGTAGAGGACGAGATGAGAGAGTGAAGGCGTCCTTCTCCCTCGCACGGCCCGGCAGGTCATCGGGCACGCTGTCCAACAGGACTGTCCAGTGCCCGAGAAGCCGAGGAGTGTTGCAGGGTGGATGGGCAGGAGGAGGGAAAGAGCGGACACGAGGCGTGGCCGCAGGCTGACGAGCAAACAGCTGCGCCTCTCGCGCGGCGGGCAGCGGGGGCCGCCAGCCAGGAGGAGCCTCGGCGAGTGCCAGCGGTGCCAGCGGCGTCGTGCGCTCGCGGCGCCACCGCTGACGCCCACTCCCTCTGCATCTGTCGGTTTCGTGCGCGCACCCTTTCGCAAGACGGCCCAAAGCGCTCCTCGAGGTGGCCCTCGCCGAGAATATGTATATGTATATGTATATGTATATGTATATGTATATGTATATGTATATATAGTTGTGTGTGTATTTGGATGTATTGTCTATATGTGTGTAAACATCTAGATGTATATATGTAGATATCTATATATATATATGTATTATGGTTTACTCATCTGTTGTATATGTGCATGTTTTAAGAAAAATCCGAGCGAGGCCAAGCAGCTGTGCCAGCCCTAGCTGGCGCCGCTGCAAACAAAAATAACGAGGCCGCACGAGGCACCAGGCGCCCGCACCCTTCCGAGAGGCCCCCAAGAGGCCCCCAAGAGGTCCTCCTCCTCCTCCCCCTCCTCCGCCTCCGCCTCTTACTCCTCCTCCTCCTCCTCCTCCTCTTCCTCCTCCTCCTCCTCCGCCTCCTGCTCCTCATCATCCTCTTGCGACGCCGCCGCCGCTGCCGCCGCCGCCGCCTCCACCTCCTCCTCTTCCTCCTCCGCCGCCTCCTCCTCCGCCTCCGCCTCCGCCTCCGCCTCCGCCTCCGCCTCCGCCTCCGCCTCCGCCTCCGCCTCCGCCTCCGCCTCCTCCTCCTCCTCCTCCTCCTCCTCCTCCTCCTCCTCCTCCCTCCTCCTCCTCCTCCTCCTCCTCCTCCTCCTCCTCCCTTCTCCTCCTCAGGAAGTCCCGAGAGGCTCCCAAGAGGCCCCCAAGGGGCTCCCAAGAGAGGACCCTAAACTGTGCCCCAGAGGCCTCGGAGAGCGCTTCGGAGAGACCCCAAGAAGCAGTCCATGAGAACCCCGAACCCACGTCGGCCTCGCCGCCGCCGCCGCCATTTGTCGTCGTTCCGCTTCGGGGTCGGCGGCACCGGCCGTGAGGCCTTCGCGATACAAGGCCAAACGAGGCACGAGGAGCCCGCACCTTCGAGGAGATGGGCGGACGCTGTCAGATAGATCCCAGGGCGGGCCAGCGGTTAAGTCGTGCCACCGCCAGACCAGGGCGTTGTGATGGCGGGGGGGCCTCGGAGGGGAGGAGTGCACGGGGCCCGCCGGCGCGCTCCAGCTGGCTGCCTTCGCTCCGACGCCTGCTCGCACCGACGCTGCCGCCGCTGCCGGTGTGGCTGCCGACATCCTCACGGGTGCCACTGCGTGCTGCTACCGCTGCTGCTTCCCCTCCTCGGCCCGCTGGCAAGATCAGTTCAGCCCGACGGCCCAGCTTGGTTTCAGACTTAGGCCCAGGGCAAAGCGAGCGAGGCCCAGACTCGCAGGGGATGAAACCTGGAGAAAGAGAGAGACAGAGAAAGAGTCTGATTGGCGAGAAAAAAACACACGGTAGAGAAGCAAAGGAAGAGTCGAGGAGCACACGGACAGCGCATGGCCCGGCCATGAACGCGAGCGGCGAACGTCTTTGTGCGCGCGGCCTTCACGCATGCAGGGTACGATGGCCGGTGCACGATACGGGACCCTGACTGCCACTCCAATCCCTCGAACCTTGGCGAGCAAGACAACTGCACGAGATGGGCTCCCGGAGGTCCGCGCAGATCTAGCGCCGACCCAAGGGATCGTTGCGGCATCCAGGAGCTCATGTTCATGCAAGGTCGCGCTCTTCATGGCCGTGGAGGAAGCCCTGAGGCAGGAAAGCACGCTGAGGGAGGGGTCGGCGAGGTCACCGGGCGTCCGGCGGGGTCCCCTGAGGCCTCGGCGAAGCATCCCCCCACAGGGGACCACGAAGGCGCCCGAAGGCCACGACGAGTCCCCCACTCCTGCAGCGCATGCTTGCGAGGGGGAGGGGAGAGATGCAAGCCAAATGCGCTCGCGTCGTATCTGACATTTTACCCCTTCCTCCAATCCCTTACCACGGCGTGGAGCCTGTCTCCATTCGCAGAACCGGGTGTCGAAAAAGACATTGGTTCCGAGAGGGTAAACGCCGAACAGCATAGCACGGCATAGCATGGCGTCGGAGAACACGGCAGAGCGTAGCATGGTGGGGCATTGAGTGGCCAAGTATTGCACATCATGCAAGGCATGGCCTCTCATAGCGGTGCGTAGCATAGCATTACTTGGCATAGCATGGCATTGCGCTGCATAGTATGGCATGC